CGACACATTCGATCCAGTAACACTTGGTAATCATAGCTTTTCTCACTCGACCGCGCTCAGCTAAGCAGCAGCAGCGGGGATCCTGCCTCAAAAAACCGCCGGGGGCGACCAATTCGACGCCGATTCTGGTAAGCACCAGCTCCGCGATTTTCGAATTACCCCCTCCGTGCGTGTTTTGAACAGGATGGCAACCTTCGACAACGCTGAGGTTACCCAGCAGCTCTTCGCGCGCATCGTAGCCCTTCAGGAGGAAATGCGAGCGGATCGCGAAGCGTGGCGAAACCAGTTCGAGCGAGTAACTCGACTCGCCGGAGCGCAGCACGAGACGACAACGGCGACGACGCAGCAGTCGCAGCAGTTTCTCGAGGCTCCGAAACCGCGCCCACCTGAGCCGTTCGATCCGAGCGATCGAAACTCCGACGCCCGCAGATGGATCGCCGGGATGGAGATCTACTTCGCAGCCGTCGGATGGAGCTCGCCTGTCTGGGACGGTCAACGTGTACGACTCGCGGCGACACTGATGCAAGGGCCGGCACTCGAGTGGATTGGCGGCAACAGTACCTTCATCCACGGTGAAGCCACGTGGCAGCAATTCCGCGTCGACCTGCTGAAACGTTTCGAGCCGATAAATTCGAGTTTCCTTGACCGTGAAACAATTCATCGCCATCGACAGTTCGGGAGTGTAGCGCAGTACACGCAGCAGATGGAGGAATTTTATAACCGCATTCCCGATCTGACCGAAGGGGAAAAAGTACAATCGTACCTCGCCGGGCTAAAGACCGAAGTCAAACGACAAGTCGCAGCGTCAAACTACGCGAGCTACAGTGACGTCGTTTCGGCAGCGGAGCGCTTCGACATGGTCAACGCCGGAACACGACGGACGCACGTCGGCAGTACGCGACAGGGCGACCGCTCGGCTCACCCCACGTTCGCCGACCCGATGGAGGTCGACAGATTCGACGGGCGGCCACGTCCGAAAAACACCAACTACACGTGTGACTTTTGCGGGGTGCCGGGTCATCGAATCTTCGACTGCAGCAAAATGAAAGCCGCACGCACAGAGTATCGGGCACGCAACAGTGGCGGAATTCCTTCAGCCAATCAGAAGTAAAAAAACGGGAGTCGCCAGTACTCTTCACACCGAAACCGGACGGAAGCCTGCGCATGTGCATCGACTACCGAGCTCTTAACAAGCAGACCATCAAAAATAAATATCCGATACCGCGAATCGATGACCTGCTTGACCAGCTTCGGGGAGCTACGGTATTTTCCAAACTGGATCTGCGGTCCGGATACTGGCAGATACGCATGGCGGACAACTCTATCCACAAAACTGCTTTCCGAACTCGGTACGGATCGTACGAGTATTTGGTAATGCCGTTCGGACTCACCAACGCACCGGCAACGTTCCAAGCCGAAATGAACCACATTCTACGACCACTTCTGGACGAATGCGTGGTGGTGTACCTGGACGACATTCTCATCTACTCGCGCGACATGAAGCAGCACGTCAAACACCTGCGACACGTCTTCGAAATTCTTCGACGAGAACGATTCTACGTCAAACTGTCCAAGAGCAAATTCGCCCTTGAGAAGGTCCAGTTCCTATGACACATGGTGAGCGCTCAAGCAGTTCACGTCGATCCCAAGAACATCGAAGGCGTACGTACGTGGAAGACACCCGAGAACGTGAAGGAGGTGCAGCAGTTCCTAGGCTTCGCTAATTACTACAACAGGTTCGTGCCACAGTATGCGAAAATCGCAGCACCACTCACGAATCTGCTGAAGAAGAACACGCCCTATAAATGGGAACCAAAGCACCAGGAAGCCGTGGAGCAGCTGAAACAAGCACTCACGACCGCACCGGTACTCATCTTGCCAGATCCCGAACGCGACTACGTAATCGAAGCTGACGCTGGCGACCAGGCAGTGGGGGCAGTCTTAATGCAAGACCAGGGGAATGGACTGCAACCGATCGCCTACCTCAGCAAGAAACTACACGGAGCAGAACTAAACTACCCGATACACGACAAAGAGGCCCTGTGACAACGTGGCTAGAGGCTTCAGTCAGCGTGAGGGGGTGGATTTCTTCCAGACCTTCGCTCCGACTCCGAAGATGACTACTCTTCGGGTTCTGTTACACCTAGCTGCTCAGCGTGACTACGAGCTTCACTCCCTCGACTTCTCCACTGCCTTCCTTCAGGGCAGCCTATACGAGCAGGTCTACTTGCGTCGCCTTCAGGGCTTTACTGGCACCTTCCCTCCTTGGACCCAGTGGCTACTGCGGCGCCCCGTCTACGGCCTTCGCTAGGCTCCCCGTGAGTGGCACGACACGTTGCGTGCTACCCTTGCTGACCTGCAGTTCTTTCCGTCTTCCGCAGACCCCTCACTCTTCGTTCGTGCTGGCCAGACTCCGTTCTACATCCTTGTTTACGTCGACGACCTGGTCTTTGCCACAGCAGACAGGGACGCACTGGCCTCAGTGAAGGCAGAGCTGCTGAAGAGACACACGTGCACTGACCTTGGAGAACTGCGCCGTTACCTTGGCTTGCAGATCTCTAGGGACAGAGCAGCGCGCACCATCACCCTGACTCAGTCACACTTGGTACGCCAGATCCTTCAGAGGTTCGGTCTTCAGTTCTCCTCTACACAGCCCACCCCTCTGCCTGTAGACCACAGACTCTCTGCTCCAGTTTCCGAGGAATCGGTAGAGCCCAGCGGCCCCTACGCAGAGCTGGTGGGTTGCCTCATGTACCTGATGACTTGCACTCGCCCAGATCTCGCATACCCTCTCAGCATCCTGGCTTGTTTTGTGGCCACTGGCAGACACCGACCGCAGCACTGGTCTGCCGCTAAGAGGGTTTTGCGTTATCTTGCTAGTACATCAGGCATGGGGTTAGTGCTAGGAGGACGTGGGCCAGTGGTCCTTACTAGACACACAGACGCTTCTTGGGCAGACGACGCCGAGACACTCAGGTCTACCCAGGGCTACTGCTTCAGCCTTAGTTCAGGTGCCGTCTCGTGGAGAGCTACCCGCTCCTCGTCTGTTGCCCAGTCCAGCTGTGAGGCCGAGATCTACGCTGGTGCCATGGCAGCACAGGAGCTCCACTGGCTGACCTTCTTGCTCACTGAATTGGGTGAGCGGCCTAGCTCTGCCCCGGTCCTGTTCGCTGACAACAGGGCCATGATCCTCCTGTGTCAGGAGCCTCGACTCAAGGGCAGAGCGAAGCATATTCAGCTGCGGTACTTCCTCCTGCGTGAGCTACAGCAGCGACGCCAGGCTCGCGTAGTACACTTGGCCTCAGGTGCCAACACAGCTGATATCTTTACGAAGGCGCTTGCGCCTAAAGATCATCAGCGGCACTGTGTACAGCTTGGTCTAGTTCCTGTAGCCTCTCACTTGCTAGGGCCTTGACTTTGTACTGTCCTTTATATGTGTACTCAGACTGGACTTGTGTCCTCTCCCAGTGGCTGGACTAGTAGTGCCGCCCTGGTCTTGTTCTTGCCTTGTCTGTACTCCTTCTGACTGGTCTTTTAGACCCTTGTCTCAGAGGCTGGACTAGTAGTGCCGCCCTGAGCTGCTTGTTCAGGACCTGCCCCTTTGCAGTCTAGGGGGTGTGTCAAACATGTGTATCTCCTATGTTTGCATAGACTGTATAGGGCCACCTCTTAGAGGGTACAACACTTAGGTATATTCACCTGTACTCTCTCTCTACTAATCATTCAGTTCTCACTTTGATAACGTTACGAAAGAAAGGCTGATTTTTCAGTGTTACTTATCCAAAAAAGGCTGAGTGATCAGTGTGTACCCTAAAAAAAAGTCTGAAAAAACCCTGAATCAGCGTAAATAGCCTGATATCTAGGGCCCTGATCTGAACCCAGCACGAAAACGGGTACAGTCGGGCGGGGTCGACCATTTTGGGTAACGGGGGCATGCCATACATCGCGCGCAAGAAGGGTCGACCGTTTTGAACCATTCTTGATTTTCGTCGAAGCGCGCGATTTCCTCGAAACCACTTGTGGGCATGAGCAGGGCTCCTGCTAGTTTTTAGGGCAGTCTGAAAATCAGACGGGTTCTTAGAGCTTCGTCTGACCGTCAGACGGATTTATTTTGCCTGTCTTACGATTCAGACGAAATGCAAGGACGTGTCTGAGAATTCAGACGGTTTTGCATCCTGATTTTATCACAGCTCATCAATACTACCAAGTTACCAACATACAACATGACGTCAAAAGTTAGACTACTGCAGCTCCTACCATACAATGAATAATCATCAGGTACTACCATCAGGAATAATCAACAACAGCCTATTGCAGAGGTGAGCTCAACTAAGCTCACAAACTACTTGTTGGGCTGAGATATTTCCAATACTACTCCTAAGAGCACTTATTTTGCTGCTACTCCTGCTAATGCCGCTACTGCTGCTGCTGTTGCTGCTGAGGCTGCCTGCTATTGCTGCTGAGGCTGCCTGCTACTGCTGCTGAGGCTGCTTGGTACTCATGGTGATGCCTTCAGTCAGAGTCGGTGTCGCTGTCCACAGGGACCTCCTCCTCTTCCTCAGAGTCAGATTCAACGGCAATCATCTTCCCCTTGCCCTTCCTCCTCCACACAGGGCCAGCTGCAGCATCCTTCTCAAACACACGTGCTGCTTCCACAGCAGCCAATGCCTCTGCCTCTCGAGCTGCTGCTGCTGCTGCCTTCGCTGCTGCCTTTGCCGCTTTTACTGCATCGGACCTCTTCGGCTTCTTCGTCGGCCTCGAGCCCTGTGCCATCACAACTTCTTTGGCAGGGCGCCGCTTCTTGACTCCCCCGCGCCACATGGTCACCAGTTCCTCCCACTCCATCTCGTACTCCAGCAGCGAGATGGTCATCAGGTCGCTCAGGCGCGCATCGCAGAGGTTCCCGCGAAGCCAGCTCTTAATCACATTCTGTCGGCTGAAGCCGCGCTCGCATTCCACTGTGCTCAGAGGCAGCACGGCGACAGCAATCCACACAAGGACAATGTTGGGGTAGGCCATCTTCCAGTCGTCGCTTGAGAGCATGTGCTTTAGGGCAGCGTGGAAGTCGAGGTCGTCATGGTGCGTTGACATGATCGTGGTGAAGCTGGTGAGTTCCTTCCTGGCCTTGCCCCAATGGACGCCTGAGGGCGGGGGAGGGGTCGGCGGAAGGGTGGGTAAACAGAAGTCAGGAATGGGCAACAATGGAGAGCAGGGTTATACACGCGAGAGAGCAGCCACTTATAGACGCGATGACAAGGGAGCGGCCTTACCGGGCAGGGTGTCAGGGGCTGTGGGGTCGCGCTTCCACAGGTTGCGCAGAGACAACAGCCACTCCATGAACTTACGCTCGCGCCTGAACGCGGTTCGAGGATACAAACTCTGCTTGTAGAGGCGAGTGCCGTTGAGGGAGGACAAGTCGTGGAATCGGCCGCGCAGATGGCCGATCATCGCCAACACTACAGCAGTTCCCAGCTTCTGGAGTGACTCCATGTCCCCTCCGCTTTGTTGGCCTTCGATCGGTCGCTCATGAAGCTGGTACGTGTGGATGAGAGGAGTGCCGTTTGCATCTGTGCCCGAGATAGTAACGTCCTTGCCGCCAGCGTGAAGTTGCAGAAACTCGAAGAAGTCGCCCGAGGTCGGGCCAAACTGCAAGTCGTAGGTGACGTACCGGCTGCGCAGGATGAGGATGGTGTTGTCCACCATCCTAAGAACTTGCGTCACGTCGACCTGGGGGAGGGGTGCAAACAAAGAGAAAGCAAACATTATAAAGTACTCGGACATGTAAACAGAAATCATGCTAAGAAGGACGTACCTGTCGACGCTGGAACTTCAGATTCAACGCGTTGAGCTCCGCGAGGATGTCAGCCAGGAAGTACAGAAGGAAGTGGAACTTCAGGCTAGTGACAACAGCATACATCTGACTATCGTACTCCCGCAGCAAGAGGATAGCAGCTGGGAAGACCTCGACCAGCCGCTGAATGGCTTCACCCCGAGAAAGCCAGCGGATCTGATGGATCCCCTGCATCTCGAGGTTGGTCTCGGTCACCACCTCCTGCAGCTGCTTGAAGCGGTTGTGGACGACGATCGAACGGCCGAGGATATCCGCCAAGGAGCGGACCACCTTGTCGACCACACCTAGATCAGGAAATTCCGCTGCCGCATCCTTAGCGGCTAGGGCCTCCCTGCATGCATGGCCACGGAGGGATGATTAACAAAGCGCGGAGAAACAGCATGATAAAAGACGGGTGGAGTGCGAATGGCTACCTATGAGCAATGCAATGGCATGATACTAGATGCGGAATCCGAGTGCGAAGACGGGCGACAAGGCCCAACTGCGCTCCCGTCATCACGCTGGCGCCGTCGGTGCTGATCCCACAGATCTTATTGAGGTCGACCCCACATGACTCCAGGTGAGTCAGAAGCACGGCTTGCAGGGAGGCGGCATCGCACTTCTCCACCGTGAGGTGCGCGAAGAACTCCGTGGCGACCTCCGTACCGCGCAGGAAGGTAAGGTAAACGATCATGTGCTTCCCTCGGCGCCGGTCCGTACTTTCGTCGAGTTGGATCCCAAGAAAGGGGCTCGCCTTGATATGGACCATCTGCTTCGCCCGCAGGTAAGCCACTAGATTCTCGACGAGCTGGATGAAGCCATACCTGCCATTCGGGTAACACCAGAGGGCATAGGGAAGGAGTAACGCAAATAGAGACAGTAAGTTCAAACAAATATCATAAACGGCAAATGAGGAACTCGAATGAGGAGGGCTTCGCCTTAAAAACGTGGGACACTTACTCGCTCTGGTAGGTTCCTCGTTCCTTCAAGGGCAGATCAGGTGTCCCCTGTTCTGCCATGAACTGGACAAGGGAAACGAACAGAACGATAGGTGCATCCGACTTGCAAACAAAAAGCACGATGGCCATGAGCCGCTTCAGTCGTCGAGCCTCATTGTCACCGTTCTCGAAGTCGACGATCGACTTCTGCTTCTTCATCTTCCCGTCGCGCTGCAGTTTCTTTGCCACGGCAGCCTCATGCTTCAGACTGTGATGATGCTTACGCATTGTTTGCTTCTGAATGTCGATGCCGCCCTCACCGTTGCGGCCGTACTGATAGTCGGGGTCGTCGCCAAACGCCATGCAGACGCTGCACTTCATGCAGGGGCGACCCTCCTTAGTCTCGGAAATCACCAACCATGGAAAGTGGCGTAACCACTGCTCCCTCGCTTTGAGTTGGAGCTCCTCCACCGTCAGGAAGAATGGCCCGTCGTCGTCATTATTCGGGGAGCTGGGACCAGGATCGCCGCTGCTGCTGCCGAGCTGGATAGGATTAGCCGCAGTCGAGGCGCAGGCATGCCGACCGAAGCTGAGTTTGCGCTGGATGTACTTCGCCTTGTCAGACTTGCGGGCGGGCAAGACGGGCCCTCCAGAGACGCGTGGCGGAAGGACGGCAGAAACGGTTTGCCTTGTAGGTGATGACGGACGGGAAGGCCTAGTAGCAGAGTTGAGCTCGGAGCCTTCAGCACCAAAGATGATCCATGGCTCCGTGTCCAACGGAGGCAGTGGGCTCAGAGGAGCCACTGTAGGGGGAGGACTAAGCACGGGCGAGTGGGCGGCAGGAGACGGGCTACGCGATCGTGCACATGCTGCGGGTGGCGGACTAGCGGCGGGAGAGCGAGCCGAGGGTGGAGAACTCAACGCATGCTTGTTACTCGTACTAGGACTAGCCTCTCGACGACTAGTCGTATGTCGAGTAGCGGAAGGAGGCGGTGCGGGTTTGACAGGCAGAGTAGGCTCGACGGGCATACGCCTCTGATGCGGCTCAGTGCTAAGGGGAGGTGGCGCGGGTCGGGACCGAAGCAGGTCTAGCCCCGTAACCGTCGATGGTGCGGCATCTTTACGAGGGTTAGCATTAACCTCCTCTAAGGCCATAAGATGAGACACACGATATGAGCAAGAACTAGGTGGGAGAGCCAGCCAAGAATGAAGCACTAGGACGAGGGAAGGACGAGGACACCAAAGAGAGCACTCATGGCTGCAGGGAGTGGTTCTCTGAGACGTGGTGGTCTGAGATTGGTGGCTTCTGTGGGCTGATTTTTCACCATGGCGGCTCGAAGAAGAGCGGCTTGGGGTTGCAGATTCAATACGAAACCCTCGTCATGCACGACGAGGGTGGCTTGCGGTTTCATCGGGAAATGCGCTGGCACATTGCTGCCCAGCGCTGCTTGCTTGGAACCTGGCTGGCAGCGACGGTGCCCGTAACAAGACAGTGGCGTGGCAGCAGCTAGCGTCAGCAAGCTGAAAATTTATGTGCGCTGGACTGTTTCGCTGCCGCGCTCGGGGTAGAATTGAATGCGCGTGCTGCGGTGCACATGGGACTGGGTGGCTGGCAGTGGCCTAGTGGCATGTGGACTAGTGGCCCTGCTGCTAGAAGGGCGGATTTGTCGGTATCAGACGGAAAAAAACGGCCGGTCTGATAAATCAGATGAAAGTGTACACCTAGTCTGATGTTTCAGACGAATTCTTATAACTTGTCTGAACGATCAGACGAATATATTTGGCTCGTCAAAAAATCAGATGAAACATAAAAACCCGGTCTGATTTTCAGACCATCAGACCGATTTGGTCTGATAACGGGAGCCCTGGGCATGAGTGACGGCGCGTGCTGTCAGGTGTGGACGAGAGTGCACTCGAGCAGCACGGGCTTCTGCTCCAGCTCGAGCGCCAGCTTCTGGAACAGCGCCGTGAGCATATCGCGCAGCTCCGCGCGGTCCACGAAGCCGCTCTCGTCCATGTCCGCCGCCACGAACAGCTCCCGGTAGAACCCCTCCGCATCCCGAGCCGCTGGCGGCGGCAGCCCCAGCGACGCGCCCAGCCCTGCGAGCCCCACGGTGAGATCCGCGCACGACAGCTTGGCGCGCTGCTGTACGTCCCAGTCGCGGAACAGACGGTCCACCACCGCCTCCAGCTGCTCCGGACTCTGCAGCAGCTGCGGTGGGGGGAAAGGGGAACACGTGGCGGGGGGGAGCATGGCAGAGGCACAAGGGGATGCATGGCAGAGGCACGAGGGGATGCATGGCAGAGGGCGTGAAGGAGGAGAGAGAGGGGGTTCACTTGACGAGAAGGAGACATGAGTGACAGCCTGCGAGCCTCCGATGCGTGCGTACCTTCCTGAGGCGCGAGCCGTTGAGCACGGTGGCCGTGTGCCCGACCACCACGGGGTGCTGCTCCAGCCGTGCCGCCACGTCCCCCAGCATGTCGCGCAGCAGCGCACTGAAGTCCGCGCGGCTCAGCTCGCGCTTGCCCTGCCCGTACTCCGCCACCACGTCCGCCACCACCGTGTCCGCGTTCTCCCGCACTGAACAGCGGGGTGGGGCGGGGGGGGCACGGGCCATACACAGTGGTGCGTATCAACAATGGGGTGGGGGTTGTGGGACGAAGCCAAGGGAGCAAGGCGTGCATGCAGGCATGGGCAGCTGATGAGGCACACTGGGAGCGACGGAGCACGTACGTCCAGCGGGCGGCAGCCCCATGGCGAGCCCCATGGCCTGCAGCGCGGGCCTGAGCTCGGAGAAGGAGAGCACGCCGTTGCCGTCTGCATCGATGGCGGCGAACACCTCCCCCGCCATGCCCTCAAACTCCGCCTCCGCCTCCGCCGCCAGCAGCTGCCGCAGCCGTGCGCCGTCCAGCGAGAACAGCACCAGCGGGTCCTCTGTGGGGGGGGGGAGGGATGTGGGAAGGAGCCACGATGTGGGGAAATGCAGGAGAGGGCAAGAGGAGATCAATGGCGCGTGTGAAGGGGCATGTGTAGCAAATACTGAGGTCAGGTCATATGAGAGACAGGAATTATAAGCAAGAGGGGGGACGTGGTGCTTGCCTTTGAGTGTGCGGGCGATGGTGGCAAGCACTTGCTTGGCGAGCACCACGAAGGTGGTGCAGTCCACAGTGTCGTTGGGGTCGCGCGACACCACGCTCTCAAACATGCCCGCCACAAACGCGTCCACCTGCTCCTCACTGCCCGGCGCCGGCAGCCCCAGCAGCTCCGCCACCTTGAGGAACGCGGGGCGCAGCTCGGCGCGCGAGAGGCGGCCATCGCTGTTGGCGTCGAGCACGTCGAACCTGGCGGCGAGGAAGGCGTCCAGCTGCTGCTCGTCCGCCATGAGCTCCTGCAGCTTGCGCCCGTCCAGCACCTCGCCGCCCACCGGCAGGTCGTCCAGCACGGCCACGGCGAGGGCGATGGGGTTGCGCTCCAGCTGCTGCGCGATGGACGAGAGCAGCGCAAAGAGCAGCGCGGAGAACTCGGCGCGGTCCACGGAGCCACTGGCGTCCATGTCCGCCGCGGCAAAGAGGTCTGCGAACAGCCCCTCCATCTCCCCCACCTGCTGCGGCGGCAGCCCCCACGCCAGACCCAGTCGCCGCAGCCCACTGATGACATCAGCGCGTGAGAGGTGGCCTGCGTTGGTGGCGTCCCAGTCAGCAAAGAGCTCGCTGGCCTCCTGCTCGAAGAGGTCCCTGCTGGCTAGGATCTGGCGGGCGAGGCAGAGAATGGTGAGGGCGCACGCAGGGAAAAGGACCAATGACGGGCAAGGAGGGTGAGGGGGTGCTGGGGGAACGCGGGAGACTGAAGCGAGCAGAGGCAAGGAGGCATGCGGGGAAGCATTTGAGTGGGAGGAATGGGAGGCAGTGCGTGTGAGCGACCTGTCTGAGCGCCCCCCCGTTGAGCACGACTGCCGCCTCCACCACCACGGCGGGCTGCGCCTCCAGCGCGTCCGCCATGGCCGCCACCAGCTGCGCAAACAGCTCCTCGAACTGCTCGCGCGCCATCTCGTCCGCGCCACCCGCGTACTCCTCCAGCAGCGCCGACAGCATGGCGTCCGCCACTGGCGCGCACGAGACCACGGGTTAGGGTGGGGGGGAAGGGGAAGGCGGGGAAGGGGAGGGGTTGAGAGGAGAGAAATCTGGTAGAAACTCGATGGCAAGGTAAAGAGCAGAGCCCGTGGTGGTTGTTGAGTGTAGCACAGAGTAATCCGCGGACCAGGGAAGAGGAGGGAGGAGAGGGCGGTGCGCGCGGCAGACCTTGGGGGGGCGGCATGCCATCGATGCCGAGTGCGGCGAGCACGGGCAGCAGCTCCTTCTTGGACAGCTTGCCGCTGCCGTCCGCGTCCATCTGCTTGAACGCCGCCTCCGCCACCGCCGCTCGCTGCTCCGCGCTGCCCGCCATGTGGCGCAGCGCCGCGCCGTTGAACACCTGCACCAGCAACGGCTCCGCTGAAGAATGACGAGGGGGGGGGGGTGGGGGGGGGGGGCGCGTTTGTGAGGGGAAGGGCGGGAAGGACTGGCGGTGCTGAGCCCATGGCGACTGGCGCGTGGTGAAGGACGCGGCGCCGCATGGTGAGGAGCCACACAGGCGTTGCGACCTGGTCCATGGCCCACCCACGCTTGGACGAGGCGAATGGGGGGTGGATCTGCGTGGTACAGGAAACGCACTGCCGCTGCAACCATCAGCAGCAGGCGTCTGACCTGCGAGCGCGGCGGCGACGTCGGAGAGCACGGCCTTGGCCGCGGCGACGAACTCGTCCTTGCGCAGCACGCCCCGCTCGTCGTCGTCGCCCGCCCGCAGCCCGAACACGGCGTCCACTACCCGGTCCACCTCCGCCCGGCTGCCCGCCTCCGGCAGCCCCGCCAGCCGCGCCATGCGCAGGAACGCGGGGCGCAGCTCCGCGCGGCTCAAGGTGCCGCTCCCGTCAGTGTCGAGCTCGTCGAAGGCCGCCGTGAGATGCGCCGTGGATGCCGCATCGTCCTGCACTAGCTCGAGGATCTTCTTGCCGTCTAAGATCTCGAATGTGCCGGCCGGCTTCCGCCCGCTAGCAGACTTTCTGAAAGACATTGTGAGTTGTTGCGGAAGAAATTTGGGAAGGGCGGCGAATGGGTTATCTGCGGTCGTGTGGCTACAACTCTTGGCAAGCTGAAGCGCGTCCATGCCACGACTTGGTTTCACTGAGGGCGTGGTACTTCGGCAAAATCTGGGTTGCGCAACTTGGCCGAGTTGCGCAACTTGCGAAAGTAACTTTTTTCGTAATCACTCGTCAAACAAGTTGGCGACCAGACTGAGAGAGATGTGCAACTCGGGTTGCGCAATTTTGCTTGCATCGCGCCGGTACGTGCGAAAGCAGCAAATCGAAATACGAAAACTGATTTCGCTCCAGAAATATGGTAACGGATGTTTCGTGTTCCATTTCAGGCACTTCGCATTCTTCGAGCGCAACCCGATGTTCCAGATGAGTTGCGACTCTCGCCCGAAAAGCGCAATCCAAGGTTCTAGCATCGAGTTGCTCAACCTGGGCATGTTTTGCCGAAGTACCACGCCCTGAGTGGAGCGTGCTTTGGTGTGCACAGCACACTGCGAGGGAACGACTAAAAAGTTGCGAATCGCAACTTGGATTCCCTTCGGAGTAGCGTATTCCTGTCATCCGAAATGGCATGCGGGTCCCTAGAGGTTATTTTTCTCTCTCTCGTAAACAAATGTAGCAGCTGTCGAACTTGCAGCAAACAAGACGACAAGGGCTTAGTGTCAAAATTGTAAACACGACCTCACTGTTTTTTCCCTCCAAAAGGAATTGGAATCGCGCTCGAGCAGGGAGACAGGAATATGCTGCTCCGAGAGGAATTCATGTTGTGATTCGCACTTTTTTGTCATTCCCTCGCACACTGCACTGTGGCAGGCGAGCGGGGAGGGAAGCCAAGTGGGGTCAGCGGAGAAAAGGGGCACCATTTCCACAAGATGCGATGCGCGTGCGGGTGGCAAGCGCGTAAAATACACCCCTTGGCGGAGGAACGAGATGCCATCTCTGCATCTCCATAGCGCGTACGCATAACCTAGAGCGGAAATTTGAGGGGGGCTGTGCGTCTATACTCATTTTTATCCAAAACATGCTGATGTTACATGACACTACCTATGATGACTTCCCAGCTGTAAATCCTGAAACAGTAATTTACCACGTTTCAACCCGTTTTTATTCCATTATTCCACGATTTGTGTTCCGTGCCATACTTTAGTAACAAACGCATGTCATCTAGCCTTTGACCAAGATAATATAAATAGAGATTAGGAGCCATCTACATGCATGTACAGCATGAGTGTTTGAACGGAAAACACGTCCGTATTTGTGAAGGTGATGAGATCAAGGAATCAGCATCAAGGCCCACTGCCCCCGCAAATAGCGCCACGTGTCAGTTCATTTTCCCCACGAGCCTCCTCCTTCACGCGCCCCTGCTCTGCAATAATGCTCGCCCACGCGCCATCCACGGCGCTCGCGTGGCGCTTGCCACGCGGTCCCTTCCTGGCCAACCAGCCGCTTCGTACTTGCACTCCCCGCGCTCGCTGCGTCGCCACTAAGGTCGCGAGGCGCACGTCCGCCTCGCTCGCTGATGCCTCCGACCGATCTCCTGCTCTCGCCGTCCAATCTCCGGCCGGCTCGCGACGAGGATCAGACTCGGCTCACGCCGATGAGTCCCCATCGGCTATCACGGCATCCCGCCGCCAAACGCTGATTGCCTTGGGGGCCTTCGCCTCCGTGGTTTGCGGCTCCGGGGACAGCATTCTTCTTCCCCCCCCCCCAGCCGCCGCAGCTGACGGCGACTCGCCGAGCGCGTTACAGCGCGGTCTGAGCCGGTACATTAAGAAGAAGAAGCTGGAGCCGCTGGAGTCGTTCGTGCCGTCCGTGTTGCTCACGCGCGAGCAGCTGCTCCTCGTGCAGGCCGTCGTCGACGACCAGGCCTCTACCCCCGAAGACCTCAACCAGGCGCGCGCCCTCCTGCGCGCGGGGCCCGCGGGAACTCTCCGCGGGGACCTCCGCGCCATCACGAGGTACGCGGCGGAAGGCGCGGCAGCGGGGCTGGCTTATACGCCGGGAGGGGACGGCTATTTCCCTGGCAGTCCCGAGGCCGGCGCAGTGGCGAGCGCGGCGGCGGAGCGGTGTCTGGATGCGCTGAGCGGGCTGGACACACTGCTGCGGCTGAACCAGGCGGACGGGCGCGCGCGCATGTCGAAACAGGCGGCAGTGGCGGTGAGCGCGCTTGACGACGTGCTGGCGACGGTGCCAGAGGCGATCAGGGCGAAGAGCGACGCCATCGTCGCCAAGTACCTGGTGCCCGCGCCCAGCAACGCCGAGGGGGAGGGGGAGGGGGCCGCAGACAGTGGAAGCCCGGGGCAGGGCGCGGAGAGTGAGCAAGGAACGGAGAATGCGGTGGGGGAGCAGAGCTTAGGAGCAGTACGACGGCTAGGACAGAAGAAGACACAGGAGGAGATGCTGGAGAGCCTGCTGTGAGGGCTTGGGGGGGTCACCTGGTCTAATTCACCAGGGCGCTGCCCTCTGCGACATGCAAGGCAGCGGCAGCACTGCATGTTAGGAAGGGATGGCTTAATGACATGCGACCATGGTCATGCGATCGTGCTGAATTTTGGTGGTTGATGTTGGTTGATCACTAGGTAGGACCAGTGGGTGTTGGTGCCCAGCAACAAGCTGCTGCTAGCCCCAGCATGGCATGCCTACTGTTGGGCTGAGAAAAAGCCCTTAGGATCTTTTGCAGAGACTAAGTCCCAGCTGTAGAGACTTGAGACTTGGAGCAGTGCAGCGGAAGTTGAGACAGTTGAACCCTTGTACTAGTATGTGAGAACAAGTGATTGATTAAAGAAACAAGCATACAGCAATATATAGAAGATAAGAAAGCAGTTGCAGAGTACAGTTACAGGAACGGTTTATCGAGTCGCATAGCGACTCGATTGCCGCTTCGGTTACCATCCGTGATGCTGTAACGGTCAGTCGCAACCTCCAGTTGCGACCTTTCGGGTCTTTTCGCATTCTTTGTCCGCCCCCTCGTGTAACCTCCGTTGACTCGCGTGCTCCCCTGTAGTCTTCCTCGAGTGTAGTGTTACACTTCAGAAACGCTTAAGTTCTTTGAGATATTTCCAACACTCCCCTTCGTTTCTGGAGTGCTGTCATGTTCGGGTCCGGTGACGTTTGTTTGCCCGGTCAGGAGCATGCAGTAGTCGAATTTTGCTTTCGCCAATTTCTTCGTCAGGTAGTCTGCGGCCATTTCTGTCGTCGGGCAGTAACTGAGTTGAAGTCTCCCCTTCGCGATTTCATCTTTGACGAAGAAGTACCGCAGGGCGATGTGCTTGGTTCGGTTGGCGAAGCCGTCCTTGTTTGCGATTTTGATCGCAGATTGGTTGTCGCAGAGGAGTGAGAAGGCGGGCAGGGTCGCAATCTTCGCTTCCTCGAGTAACTCTCGTAGATAGAGTCCTTCCTTGGTCGCAGTACAAAGGGCGATATACTCTGCTTCGGCCGAGGATAGTGCGATTAACTCCTGTTTGCTCGACTGCCAGGAGATAGTTCCGATAGGTTCTAGCCGGTAGATGTAGCCCGTCCTAGACCGTCGATTTTCGCTGTCTCCCGCGTGGTCGGCGTCGACGTATCCGAGTAGTCGTACGGACGGTGTTGTTGCCTTGCTGTAGGTAAGCCCGATCGTCGGCGTGGAGACGAAGTAGAGTAGTGCTCGATTGAGTTCCTCGAGATCTTCCTGTTTCGGCTGCTTCAGATGTGTCGCCAACTGACTCGCACTATAGGACAGGTCGGGTCGGCAGGTTACTGATGCGAATAGTAGGCAGCCGAGCTTCTGTTGATACTCCTGGATTTGTTTCGCGGGGAGTTTTGTAGAGGCGCTGCTGTTGTTCCCGTAGCGGTAGGGAGTTGGGACTGCAGTCGGTGTTAGACCGAATTTCTTCGCGACGGTGCTTGAGTACTTTCCAGCGTGTAGGTAGAACGCCGTGTCGTCTTCGACGACGTTCAGTCCTAGGTACTGCGTAACTTCGTCGGACACCGTGAGAGTTAAATCTTCTTTCAGCTCCCCTTCGAACCAGGTGGCGATGTCGGTAGTGGAGCCGATGTAGAGCAGGTCGTCGACGTAGACGATGAGCAGAACATACTCTCTTCCCTTCTGCAGTCGGTACATCCCTTGGTCATGCGGCAGCTGTAGGAAGCCGATTTTTACGAGACGGCTGTGAAGATGCTGCTGCCAGAGCCGCGGGGCTTGCTTGATCCCGTATAGGGATTTTGTCAGTCGGCATATTTTCGTGGGGTCGTCGATGAATCCGTGGGGTTGTTCGACGAAGATCTCAGCGTCCACAGGTGCGTATAGGAACGCATTCGCGACATCGATTTGGCGTAGTGGTAGTGTTTTCGTGGCCGCGACGGCGAGTAGGATGCGTAATGAGGTGTGACGGGAGACTGGAGCGAAGGTTTCTGTGTAGTCGGTTCCGTATCGTTGATCGAAGCCTCGTACGACCCATCGAGCTTTGAATCGTTCGATGGAGCCGTCTGAGTTGGTCTTGATGCGGTACACCCATTTCCCCGAGAGAACGTTCTTCCCGTTGATGCTCGTTGCAGGTACCAGTTTCCATGTTTCTCGGTCTTGCAGAGCTTTTAACTCCTTTTCCATCGCTTCCTTCCATTTTACCTTATGTTCCCCCCCCAGAGCCTGCGACAAGGTTGAAGGCTCACGCGTAGAAGGCGGCGGCGGATGCTGGACGGAGACCCAGAGGCCTAGAATCTGGAGTCCCGTGGGTGTGTGTCGAGGGGAATTGTCATTCCCGGAATAAGCTGCTTCGTCACCGTCTTCGGGGTCAGGTAAGAAATTGGGGCCGATGCGTTCCGAAATATTCGTGTCGACGGGGTGAGGTGTAGCGTAACCTTGGTCGGCGAAGTGGTAAAAGGTGTCGAGGTTGTTGCTATCGAGGGGATTATCTTCATCGAGTGGAACAGGTACGGAACAGAATGGGAGTGGCCCGGCAGCTTCCGAGGCTCCAGGTACGTCTTCTTCTGCTGCGTCAGCTTCGGCAGCACGATCGGCGAAGGAACGAAGTCCCGAGAGGCCGTCGGTGGGGTCTTGTGTGTTGGCAAGGTTGTCCAGGTAATGCTGTAGAGTCAGTCGTTCGTAGAAGATAACGTCTCGTGATGCCACCGTGTTTTTGTCTTGTATGTCGAGAATTTTCCACGCGTGAAAATGTTTCGCGATGCCGAGGTGGAGTCCCCACCGAGCTCGTTGTGTGAAGCGTCCTGCTCGGGCTGTGTGGGGTCTGTACTGTACCATGCAGCCAAAGACTCTGAGTAATTTTGTGCTGCCCCTTTTTCTTGTCCACAACAGGTGCGGTGATGCGTTGTTGGGAAGTGATGACGAGGACAGCAGGTTGTGCAGGTGAACAGCATGTGTCATCGCGTCTGGCCACAGTGCGTTGGGCAGCCTCATCCCCAGAAGCAGTTTTCGCATCGTCGTCTGCAAGGTCCGGTTCATGCGTTCTGCTACCCCCTGCTGCTGGTGAGCATAGGGCAGAGACACCAGGCGTCGGATTCCCCTTTCCGCGAGATAGGTCCTGAAGCGTTGTGACTGGTATTCCAGTGCACCGTCTGACTGGAAGCTCTTGAGTTTGGTTCCTGACTCTCGTTCGGCGATTGGAAGCCATGTGGTGAAGGCCTCGAAGGCTTGATCACGCGTTTTGAGATTGAAGTGCCAGACGTATCTGGTTGCGGCGTCGATGAACGTGATGACGTAGTTGAAGTCGGCTTCGGTGTCGTCTCGAGGCATGTTTAGAATATCGCTGTAGACCTTTTCCATCGGAGCGTAAGTAGGTGCGCTTGGGTTGTGATGGGATGGGAAAGGTTGATGAGGAAGATCTGCTTCGGGGCATGTGAAGCACCGTGCGCGTGGTCGTCGAAGTTCTTGGCCGCTCGTCGTCAGGAGGGCGTTGCGTTCTAACACCTCTGCTTGGATTGTTTGAAGGATCGTGCTGTTTGCAGGATGTCCGAGACGTTGGTGCCAGATGTCGTCGGGAGCGCGGTGACCGGGCGAGCGGTGGTAGATGTCGGCGTTGGAGAAGAACGCGACGACCGAAGCGGGACTTCGGCAAGCTTCTCGTGTGGCGGGCATAAGTTGGTCTGCTTCGGTTGGCGGTCCTCGTGTCGCTGGTGGTGGTACTTGGCTGGGTCCTGCTGCCGATACTGCAGGTGATGGTTTTGTTGGGACACTTGCGGGTACTTGTCTTTCTTGTCTGATAACTGCTAATGCTCGTGTTCTCTCTGCTGCAGGTATGGTGTTGGAGTGCCAGAAGCCGTCACTGTCGAAGTCGGGATCAAGATCCGGCGGGTGAGTCCAGGCGGCGAATGATACGATACCGTCGCTGTCGGCAGTACCGCGGTCGGGGACGAAGTCCAACACGAAGACGCCGGATTTCAGGAGGGCACGACCGATGAAGAGGCCTCCCTTCCCGTGGTAAAGTCGGAACTCGTTGGAGAAGGAGTCGCACTCCAGGTGAATCCCCTTAGCCATTAGTTGGCTTACGCTTAGTAGGTTGTATCCCAGATTGTCGACGATGAGGACCTTGTTGAGCTGAAGAATAACGTTTGTCTCCATTGATTGTAACTGAACCACGCCTTGTCTGTTTGTTTTCAGGTTTTCGTTGTTGGCGACGGTGATGACGACGTCGCGGTTGAGGCGTCGCTCGTGTTGTACGAAGCGTCCGGAGGAGCACATGTGCTGACCGCAGCAACTGTCCAAGAACCAGGTGTTCCGCCCGGTGGGTTCGGCGTTAGCGACTGCAGCGTATGTCGGGTTGACCTGAAGTCCTTGCGAGCGCGGCGGCGGGAATTCCTCTTCGTCTGGTGCGTAAGTGGGTGGTGAATCGGGTGCGCAGTTATCGATGTGTACCATGCAGTTGATGATGTTGGGTGTTTGTTGTGCAGATGTTGAAGAGCGCCTTGGAGGACTTGCTTGAGTGGAAGCGACTTGTGGGTCTGCTGCACGGTAAACGCGAGGGCGGTTGCAGTTGACCTTGGAGTGCCCGGAAGTCTGACAGTTGTGGCAGAACGGCGGCACGATGGTGAGTCCTCGGTTGTCGCGTTGATCTTGCTTGCTGCGTCGGTTGTAGTTGATGTCATTTCTTCTTTGAGTGTAGAAGACTAACTGCTGTTGCTTCCTTGGTTGTCTTTCCTCGAACAGATCCATCTCCTGTTGTTCAGCGTGAAGCTCGGCGCAGAGGTGCATCTCCGAAATTCTTCCGTGGGCTCGAAGAAGCGATCGTGTGGTTCTCCATTCTGGCCCGAGCCCGGCGAGGACAAGTGTCACGAAGCTTTCTTCAGTGATCGTTCCTCCGCACCGAAGCAGGCGGTCGCGGAGGGTCTGGCAGCGACTCATATACTGGATCGCCTTTTCTCCGGTCTTCATCTGTATTGTTGTCAGCTGTTGCATGAGTCTGCTTTGTGTCACGCTGTCGTTTGCTTGATAGAGGCATTTGAGATGATGCCATGCGAGTTCCGCGGAGTTTCCATAACTCCGATACGTTCTGATGCTCTGCTGCTCTTGTGGTGACAGGTTTCTCAGGAGTACCGTATACGCCAGCAGCGACTGATACGTGAAGATTTCTTGTTCCTTCCCAGTGCCATTGCTTGGGAATGGCAGGGACCCGTTGAAGTATCCCAGAAGATGCGCGGCCTCCATCAGCAGCTCGAACTCGAAGCTCCAGGTAAAGAAGTCGTGTCCGTTGAACGGTGATGATGTCTGCAGTTTAATCACGTGTGAAAACTGTGCCTGGAGACTTAAAATCTCGTTTGGTGTTTGTTGTGATGCAGCTGCTGTTGGTTGGGCACGGGGCGGCATGAACTCGAACGTCCCCGGTGAAGAGTGATAAGGCGCAAAGGTAGGCGCTTGATTGTGTCGCCCGAAGGATGAGTTGTCGAGGCTCATCGGCGCTAATCCCATATTCCCTCCATTGCTCTGTGTTGAGTGCGCAGGTGTCCTTGTCTGCTGCTGCTGATCGAAGTGTGACATGAAGCTGAAGAATCTCTCCATGAGATTCGGGTCCACACTTGAAGAGGGAGACGGAGTCACCACCTCTGGTGCTCTTCCTGTTGTTTCTTGAGCAGTCCCGGTCTCTGTCTGCAGTCCTGAGGTGTGCAGACCAGAGTTGCCGTGTTGAGTTTCTTGGGCGCTGGGTGAGCCCGTAGAGACTTTCTTGCCTTTGCTGTCCATGTCTTGTAATCAATGGAGTTGTTGAATCAAGTTGAGTTGCAGGTTGTTGATGGAGTGTAGTTGCTGGGAGTTTGGTCTCTGACCAGCTCTCATACCATGTTGGGCTGAGAAAAAGCCCTTAGGATCTTTTGCAGAGACTAAGTCCCAGCTGTAGAGACTTGAGACTTGGAGCAGTGCAGCGGAAGTTGAGACAGTTGAACCCTTGTACTAGTATGTGAGAACAAGTGATTGATTAAAGAAACAAGCATACAGCAATATATAGAAGATAAGAAAGCAGTTGCAGAGTACAGTTACAGGAACGGTTTATCGAGTCGCATAGCGACTCGATTGCCGCTTCGGTTACCATCCGTGATGCTGTAACGGTCAGTCGCAACCTCCAGTTGCGACCTTTCGGGTCTTTTCGCATTCTTTGTCCGCCCCCTCGTGTAACCTCCGTTGACTCGCGTGCTCCCCTGTAGTCTTCCTCGAGTGTAGTGTTACACTTCAGAAACGCTTAAGTTCTTTGAGATATTTCCAACACCTACCATCCTACGGTGATCCGTGATTTGATGGACTGGAGTCACCAAGAGTGAGGAACAATCAACTTCGTTTTAGTGTGAACACAGCTTGACATTTGATCCCCTGTGCAGAGTAGACCCTCCCTAACCCTGTATGGGCACCGATTCTGCGTGTGTGGATCAAGATGCAAGCCTGGAAAGCACTGCACATCCACCAAGCATGTGCGGTTAGGGAATCGTTGACTTCACTGTACATCCGCATAAAGCCATCGTTGTGTCAAACACTTATGTATTCAATCCTACAAAGGCTTAAAGAAGGTTGCTAGCTGGTAGCTGCTATTCCCGCAGATGCTTATATCCGAGCCCTACAGATCTCTAAGCGAAACTGCAGTAAAACATCGCGCCTCGATGTTGGCGCCAACGGCAGAACAGCACATTTCAGTCAGGCAGACCTGGCAGCGCACAGCGTTTTGTCTGGCTGGGAGCATGTCGAGTCGTCTGCTCCGCTCTCCCTCCCCTAGTTCAGCAAACTAATCCCCTTGGCACTCGCGCACTCAACGCTCGCCACACCACCTGTTGCGCCATCCATTCGCTGTTGCTTTGCATTCGGGCTTGTCTCTCACGCCTTTCAACTTGCGTTGATTCCGATATTTCTTTCCTAATAGTAAAAGCTTGCACGTTAGGAAAATGACACGCGTCCATATATACTCGAGGCATGTGGTAAAAGGTCAGGAAAGTTAGAGGGTGCTGTCCGTCTGAGCGCTATTCGCGTGAGGAGGTTGGAGCGAGCAGCGTCATCGGCTGATGACGCACCTCGTGTACCTCATAGCGCTCCTCCTCATCTCATCCGCTCCCTCCACCGCTCATCGCCGCGTTCTCTCCTCCTCCAGCCGCGCGCTGCCTGGCTGGCATCGCGATCGCCGTGCGCCCCGCCTCTCCAACGCATCTCTACCGCACCCATGGCTCGCCTCCCTCCATTCCTCGCGCCGCATCCACCTTGCTTCGACCGGCGGCTTCCAGTGGAACGAGCGCACTCAAGCAGCTCCTTTTCCGCCGCCGCTCGCGCGTCTGCTGCCGCCAAGGACACTCCTAGCTTCCGCTTCCACTGCGAGCCCTCCGCCACCAACCCCCCCTCCTCGTCCCCCACCACGGCCGCCTCCGCGCCCCCCCCGTCCCCCACCGCGTCCCCCTCCACGTCCCCCTGCAAGCAACCCTCCTCAAACCGCACTCCCCTCCTCGCCTCCTCCATCGCCCCCTCCCAGGTCCCCCCCGCCTCGGCCACCTTCCTCCCCCACTCTCCTCTCTCCAGCCTCCCCATCTATACGAATTCCCTCGCCGCCAGCTCCGCCCTCCCCCCCACCCATCTCCGCCAACACCACCACCCCCAACCTCCCTGCCGTTCCACAAGTCACGAGCGCAGCGGGGGTGTTCGACGTGCGCACCTTCGGCGCCGTGGGAGACGGCGAGACCGACGACACCTCCGCCCTCACGCGCGCCTTCGCCGCCGCCTGCGGCTACTACGCGCTGTACCCGGCGCGCGCCACGCTGCTGTTCCCGCAGGGCTTGACCTTCTTCATCAAGTCGCGCTCCGTGGAGTGGAAGGGGCCGTGCAACGGGCAGGGGCTGCGCGTGCAGGTGAGCGCAGCAGCGCCAATCACTCCGCGCGCGCGCGGCCCTCGTGCTTCATTCCCCAATGCCGCGCCGCACGCCTCACTTTCCCCGTGGAGTGCCCTCCGTGCCCCGTGCCCCGTGCCCCGTGCCCCGTGCCCCGTGCCCTCTGGAAGGTGGACGGGACGATTCTGGTGGATCCCAGGGGGGTACCCGCGCTGACGCCCATCATCGCGCTGCACGGCCTGCGCTACCTCGTCCTCGCGGGCCGCGGCGTCATCGACGGAGGCGGGCAGGCCGTGTGGGGGCGCGCGTCGAAGCGGCCGTACCTGGTGGAGATCGTGAAGAGCAGCCACGTGGAGGTGACGGGGATCACGCTCGTGTGAGTGGCACGGGAGGGGGGCGTGCACGGCGTGGTGGTGACACGCGGAGGTTGCATGACGGCACGAGCATCTTGACATCCATCCACGCATCACTGGCAAATCCCCCGTGCGCGCGCAGGAACCCCCCCATGATGCATCTGAGCGTGAAGTACTGCGCGGGCGTGCGCATCCACGCGTTCAGCACGGCGAGCCCGTACAACAGCCCCAACACCGACTCCATCCATATCGCCTCCAGCTCCGCCGTCGTCGTCGAGAACTGCACGCTGCACGGCGGTGAGCGCACGCCAGGGAAGCTGCTTCCCTGGGATAGCGAGCGCGTAGACGTGGTACCTGCCCTGCGCGTGGACCATGCTGCACGTTAGCGTCGCTCCGCTTGCTCGCTGCGCAGCCCACCTCGCGTGAGCCGCCTGAGGCTGTCCGGTGAGGCCGTGCAAATGACCTCCACCCTGCCCTGCTCCCATCTGCTCTCGTCCTAGCAGGCGACGACAATGTGTCGATCAAGGGCTCCTCCTCCAACATCGTCATCAGAGACGTGCTCTGCACCGCTGGCCATGGCATCAGGTGGGCATCAGGTGGGCACGGGCATCAGGTGGGCATCAGGTGGGCATCAGGTGGCCATGGCATCAGGTGGGCATCAGGTGGGCACGGCATAAGCATGGCATCAGTTGGCTATGGCTGTAGCACAGCACGAGCCAGTGGACTTGAATCCTCTTTCGTTTCCACTGCTAGCTGTGTCCCCATGCGCCAACTCATTCCCTCCTCCAACCTCTGCTGCACATGCAACCCTTCCCCATGTGTGCCAGCATTGGCAGTCTTGGCAGCAGGCCCCGGCGCGGGTGTGTGTCGAACGTGAGGGTGAAGGACGTGCAGCTGGTGGGGCTGCAGACTGGCCTGCGTATCAAGACGTACCAGGGGGGCGAGGGCACAGTGCACAACGTGCGCTACACCAATGTCAGGATGACAGATGTCACCTATCCCATTCTCATTGACCAGGTAATCAGCTCGTGGCTCTCCTACCCTGTGCACTCCCTTTTCCCCTCTCCTTCTCTCTTTCGGGGGCACTAGAGGTTAACCCTGCTCTTCGGGTGTCTCATTCTCCCTTCCGATCTCCCACCATCGCCCCGTTGCCCGTTGCCCTTACCTGCCTCCACTCACATCAGTACTACTGCGAGAGGCAGCCCTGCGGTGGCAAGCCGGGCTCCCTGGCGGTGTTTGACATTCACTACAAGAACATCTTCGGCACCACCAACTACACGCGCAGCGGGGGCATCAAGCTCTCCTGCAGCCCGCGCACGCCGTGTGGCCGCATCTCAATGCGCAACGTGCGCATCCAGCACTCGCGGCCCAACACAACACTCTCGCCCATCCTGCAGAACGCATATGGCACCAGCAAGGCCGTGGTGCCCACCATAAGCAAGAACGCATGGAGGAAGGGGAAACTGTCACGCAGCAAGGCGTTCACAATCTCGAACGAGTACAGAAAATGTGGCGGGTATGTATTGGCTTCCATGGAAAACTTGAGTCGGGCATTGTCATGTGAGTTCAGTGTGTTCTGCATGCTCCCTCGTGTCTGCTTGTGAACCCATGCATGTTTGTCCTCTCTGCCGTTCAGTACCTAATTTCCTCGCGTTTGACTGGTACATTGTTTGCAAGCAGGCTATGGTGGGCGTTGTTCCTTGGGCCCAAGGGGCTCGGTTGGGCGTCGCCCAGCACCACCTTTGACTTCGCCAATTGATGCACTGCTTCAGATTTGGATGCCTCTCTCCATTTCCTCATGTCAGATTCTTCGTCTAGCACACTGGCTTCCAAAAAAAGGCTCTCTACACACTGAGTAGAGATGGAATGAATACTGGTGCAATTCGCTTGTGTACAACCTGTCAACATAAAGTTGTATATGTTATAGGCTAGATAGGTGCATGCTCATAGAGGGTACAGCACCATAGATCAAAACCTCCCTGTATGGCTCAATCTAGTTCATTGCGTTATTCTAACATGGTATCACTCTAGGTTAGGTCCCCCTCCCCGCCTACGCTTCCGCCCCTAGCCTTAGCCCTAGCCTTAGACCGCGCCCTAGCCCGCGCCCCGTCACACCACGCCGGCCTCGTCCGTCACGCCGTGCCAGTCCCATCACGCTGCACCGGCCCCGTCACGCCGCGCCAGCCCCGTCACGCCACGTCGGCCCCGTCACTCCGCGCCGGCCCCGTCACGTCGCGCCGGCCCCGCTAGACCGCGCCGGCTTCGTTACGCCGCGCCGGCCACGTCCCGTGACGCCGGCCCCGCTAGACCGCACCGGCCCCATCACGCTGCACCGGCCTTGTCACTCCTCGCCGGCCCCGTCACGCCGCGCCGGCCCTGCCATACGGCGCCGCACCGAGCTTCCGAGCCGTTGTGCCACGCCGCCGAGCCGCTGAACCGCGCAGCCGAGCCGCTGAACCGCGCCGCCGAGCCGCGCCGCGCCACACCGCCGAGTAGCCGAGCCGCCGAGCTGCCGAGTAGCCAAGCCTTCGTGCCGCCGAGCCGCCGAGTAGCCGAGCTATCGAGTCGCCGAGCCGCCGTGCTGCTGTGCCGCCCCGACCTGCCGGCCTTGGTTCCCCCTTCTGTGCCGGCGCTCCCGCCGGCCGTCTCCACCGCTACTCTCCACCGCCCTCTCCTCCTCCTCCCCTAGCGGCGGTCAGCTGCTACAGCCGTGATGATGGCGGACGCTGTGCTCCGCCTGGACGCGGAGGGACGGGCGATCGACTTTGAGGCGTGGCTCGCCGACCTCCGCCGCTCGTTGAGGGGACAGCGCCAGGATGGTCAGTCTCTAGCCGTTCACGTCGATGGTCAGTCTTTGCAGTTGCTGAGCTCGCTCGCTTCGTCTGGGAGTCGCGTAACACAGTTGCGCAGCTTGCTATCAATCGTGCCCTCCCCTTGTCTGAGCGCACCTGCTACCAGGCCCTAGAGACTGCGCAGGCGTACTTAGATAATGTTATTGCACGCCTCCTCCCTCCTCCGCCTCTGCCGGTCGTCTCCTCCTCCCCCTGCTCTTCCCTGACCTTGCGTCTTTTTCCACTGTCGCTGATCTCGCCACTCACTTGCCCGCACTAGAGACTAGCTACCGCGCTGCTAGCACGGAGACTCAGCTCCTTGTAATGCCTCCCCCCTTCAATGCTACCCTCTATTTCCTTGCCACGTGCCTTCTTGAATGCCTAGCCACTACCCGCGACCACTTCCTTGCCCTCCACCCTGCTGACCTCAACCTCACTGACTTTGTCACTACCCTGACCGCGATAGAGACGCGCCAACGCACTATCGCTTAGTCGAGCGGTACTACGGCGGTCCCTATCTTCCAGGACTGTGCTCCCTCTTAGTGCACATACTCTGACGCCTTTGCCGCTGTTGCTGAGATGGCCCATGCTGCTGAGACCGCTACGGCGGCCTCAGCGCAGTCTTATCAGGGTAGGGGACCCCGGTCCCGGGGGGGGCGTGGCGGCGGGAGGGGTGGCGGGGGTGGCGGGGGTGGCGGGGGTGGCGGAGGTGGCGGAGGTAGTGGAGGGGACGGTGGTGCCGACGAGGGGACCGGGGCTGGTGCCCTTGAGAAGCAGCCTTATCAACAGCAGCAGCAGCCATCGCGGCAGCAGCAGGAGTCGCCGTGGGCGCCCCCGCCGCCATGATGGACTGGCGGTTCTGGTGGTGGTGGGGAGCGCAGCTCGGTGCCGGATGGCGGCTCCATTGGGGTCACCTGCCAGTACCAGCTTCAGTCCGGTCCCTGTCGCGGCACCGTCTGTGACCGCCCCGGTCACACTGCCACACGCTGCTACCGTCGCCTCGACGACCACTTCCGTCTCCGCTTCGGCCACACTGCGAACCCCCCCGACTGGTACAGCCTGGTGCGTCATCGTGTACCTGTCTTTGAGATGGACATGGATCAAAATAGGTCTGCTTTGTATGCCATATATGCTGATGACTCTAGTGGGACTAGACCCTATTACCCGGTATTGCCTAGCGTAGGTGTGTCCCCTATGTGTAGTCTAGGTTCCCCTACTGCGTAAGGCATAGGACCCGCTGCCTTGTTTAGCCTAAGCTCCACGCTAGCCACTCCGCCGGCGGAGGCTACTACTTCGCTCTACTTCACCCTCGACTCTGTAGCATCTGCTTGCTTCTTCCGCGACCACACTTCGCTTACGCCTCTTGCCGCCCCTGCCGCTGTCACGCTTGCTGACCCCTCCTCAGGTTGGGTAGTTGCTTGTAGGTCCACCACCCTCCCCTGTTTGGCAGTCTCCTCGGGTTCTCTTACAAGCCTGCACATCCCCTCGTTCTCCAGGAACCTAGTTGGTGTCGGCTGTCGTCAGGACCTCGGCGTCACCACTACGTTCCCAGGTCACGAGCGGTACGCGGACTGTATCGAGGCCGCCACTGGTGCTCCTCTGATCACGTTCCCTTGGGACCCTGTGTCTGGCCTGTTTACGCTTGAGAGTGCGTCCCCCCCGGTGGGGGCGTCCCCCCAGGTGCCTGCATTGACCTAGGTCGCTGCAGCTTACTCATGTCGGTCGCTCACTCACCCGTCACTACTGTGGCACCACCGCCCAGGTTACGCCGCACTCCCGCGTCTTCGTCACATGTCCCATCACGGTCTTGTCTTCAGTCTGCTTGCGTCGCTCCCTGCCCTTCCTCCCTTACCTGCTTCACCGTGCACGCCTTATGTCGAGGGCCGGCTGCGCCGTGCTCCTCACTCCTCCTTGCTTCCCCCTACCACTGCGCCACTCCAGACCCTGCACTTGGACATCTGGAGTCCAGCCCCCGTCCCTGGGTCGCATCGCGAGCGCTACTTTCTAGTGCTTGTCGACAACTACACGCGCTATACCACGGTGTTTCGCCTAGAGCGGAAGGCCAACGTGCCTAACGTTCTTATCCCGTGGGTCGTAGCTGCGCGAATCCACTACGACCTCCCTCTGCTGCGTCTTCACTCTGACCGTGGTGACGAGTTTGCCTCCGATCGGCTTTGCCAGTTCTGTCGGGCAGAGGGCATCACCTTGTCGTACACCTTGTCGGACTCCCCGCAGCAGAATGGGGTCGCTGAGCGATGCATCGGTTTGGTCATGGAGGTGGCTCGTACCTCCATGATCCATGCCGGTGCACACCATTTCTGTGGTCGTTCGCTGTTCGCTACGCCGCTGACCAGCTTAACTTGTGGCCGCACTCCCAGCGGCCGCAGGTTTTGCCAACCCTTCTCTGTACCGGGTTGCTTGGTGACGCGTCTGCGTTCCACGTCTGGGGCTGTCTTGCTCACGATCATGCCTCTGGCACGGACAAGCTCACTGCATGCACTGTCTCTTGTGTCTTCCTTGGCTTCCCCCTTGACGTGTCTGACTAGCACGATTACCACCCGCCGTCTCACCGCTTCTTTCACTCGCGTGACGTCACTTTTGATGAGTCTATCTCCTTTTACCACCGCTTTCCCCACCAAGGCCTCCCGGTTTCCCGGTCCCTGTTTTTTTTTTCCCACTCCCCTGGTAGCCCATGCTCCTCTCCCTCACCATCCTGCCCCGTCTGGTGTGTCTCACGTCACTCCCCTCCTGTCGGTTGTCCCAGTCGAGGAGTCCGCTCACTCTGGTGGCCCCACGGCACTGTTCTCGCCGCCTGTCTCCGCCCCGGTTTCTCCTCCTCCGCCGTCGCCGCCGTCGAAGACGCAGCAGCAGCCGCAGTCGCCGCCACCGCAGGGGTCCGCCAGCACTGTGGGTGCGGGCGTTGAGCAGGGTGCTAGTCCTGGGGTTACTGTCGTGGCTTGTCCCAGCAGTCCTTAGGGTCGCATCAGTGCTAGGGAGGGTTCTCGTTCTAGGGGTGCTGGCGTGGAGAGTCACGGAGGCAGCCGTTGTGCAGCTAGAGGTTCTGGTGTCAGCGTGGATCAGCAGCAGCATCAGTTGTCGCTGGTGGTGTTCGCCCTTCGCCTACTCGGTCTTCCCTTCCCTGACCACCCACCTGCGCCTCCCCCGCAGCTGCCTCCCCTGCGTTTCTACAGCCCTGTGTTTCCGCTTCCAGACTCGTATCCGACTCATTTTCCCCCTCGTTTTCCACCTAGGTCTCCTCCTGTGTCTCCTTACCCAACGCCTCCGTCCCACTTCTGGTCTCGCCGTCCCTCTCGTGCCCGTCATGTCTCTTCTGTTCAGGGCTCTCACCCTATGTTGCTCCGTTCCTAGGCGTCTTGTCCTCCCCTCTTCTCGTCGCCTCCTCCGTCGTCGCTTGTTGTCACTCCGCCTCCTCTGTCTGACTATCTTTATGCCACTAGTCCTCTCGTTACCGACCCGTCTGTTCCTCTCTCGATTCTTGACGCTCTTGTCACTGCCGTCGCTGAATTTGCCTCTGCCCGCCAACTTGACTACGCCATCGCTCTGGTCTTTGACCCTGCCCGTCCTCCGTCCGTCGGGGATGCTCCTGCCCTCGGCAGTGACGTCCTGGAGGACTTGCAGTACAAGCTTGATTTCCTGTCCGAGGCCGCCCCTCATCACTGCTCTATGCTGCTAGTCCCTCAGGGTGACCCAGACGCCTTTGACATCCCGACCCCTCGCACTTACGCTGAGGCGACCTCGGGACCCTGGGCCTCTCAGTGGATAGCTGCCATGGAGCAGGAGATGGCATCTTGGAGATCCACCGGCAACTTTGTCGACGCAGTTCCCCCACCCGGGGTGAACGTAGTTGATGGCTGGCTGCTCTTCAAGGTGAAGCGCCATCCTAGAGAGCCGCCGGTGTTCAAGGCTTGCTACGTTGCTGGAGGCTTCAATCAGCGTGAGGGTGTTGACTTCTTTCATACCTTCGCTCCGACCTCGAAGATGACTACTCTTCGGGTGCTGCTACACGTAGCAGCTCAGCGTGACTATGAGCTGCACTCGCTGGACTTCTCTATAGCGTTTCTCCAGGGCCGTCTACACGAGCAGGTCTACCTGCGTCGTCCGCCGGGATTCACCGGCATCTTCACCCAT